GAGAGGTGAGTGCATAGGGAGCTTTTCTTGCCGGGGTGGTCTAATACCTCCTGCAGCTCTTGGGAAATGAGAAGGAAATGAATTGGGTTGGTGCTGCAGAAACAGTCTGGCACCTCCGAGCCTGCTCCTTGTGACCAGCCTATGGAGTTAAATCAGAGCTCCCGGGACTGTTGTGGGGCTGGCTGTGAGCCAGCGGGTCCTCCCTCTTTGATTTGGTCTGCAGGAACACACCCCCAAGCTTTGACCATGCCAGGAGTAAATTCAGTATATTCAACAAGGAGTTAATAGAAGCTTTGGATCAGCTACAAAATTAACTTGATTAAATTCCTGTCCATCAATTAAGCCAGTATACTTGACTATAATGCTATTTAATTTGGAGCTGGGAACAGTGCAATAAATCAACGTTTACAGATGTCTCTGGTAAACCTGTGATTGATGAAACGTGGTAATTTCAGAGGTGCATGGAAAATTTCAAACAAAATCATATCCCCCTGTGATTAATATAGCTGTCTGTGTTGGTATTTTCTCCAGAAGGTACCAATCCAAATATGCTTAATATCACATGTTTCCAGTGACAGCTTCAGTACCTGATCCAAGCAGCAGAACGTGCTGAGGTTTCATTGCCAAGCTGGGCCCCCTCTGGAAAGGTGCTGAGCGCCTGGCTCAGTGTTTCAATGAATGGGCTCTAGTTGCCCCTTTCTAGAAAAGGGGCAGCATCCTGCCCCTTTTGACCCCCTGGAGCTCTTGCAGCTCACTGTTGTCTTTCCCTCCGTTACCCCTGGATGCAAACGAGGAGAGGAGCTTTGTGCAGGGTGAGCAAGACTTCCGGTGGCCAGGCATGGATGGAGGAGGCTCTCTGGGGATTTGGGATGTGGAGATGCTCCCTGCAGGTGGCAAAGGTCCCAATCCTGTGAATACCAATGGCATTTTGAGCATGATTTCCAGATCAGGGACAAAAATACAGGTCTCCCAGGAAAAGCCCTCCTAACTACCTTGAGCAACTCCAAAAGGTGGGTGATTCTAAGAGAGCTGGTGAATAGTCTTCTCTGTCTTGTTGAGCCTTTGTTAGGATTTTCTCATGATAACACAAGTTGCAAATACCTGGGAGGCTGCCAAACGATTTTCTTCAGTTTTGAGGTCAGGGCTGAGTACTGGCATGGCCTTCCCTGAAGTCCTTCTGGGGAAGCAGGGACATGAAGATTCAAGCTAGGGAAAAGGGGGAGATTCAAAATAGACAGAAGCAGCAGCAGGGAACAGAGCTTATGGTGAGTAGCTGTTAGCAGCTGAGCTGCCTCCAAGACAACCCTGACATCTCCGCTGAAAAGCACTTATGAAGGATTGAGAAAGGAAGGGAAATTTCAACTGATAGCTCTAGGAAGGAAAATTGAAATAATTGTCTCCCATTTTTGTCAGGGGAAAGTGCTTTGTATTCCCAGCTGGCAACTAGTTAAACCAAAAAGAGTCAGTCATTATTTTTCTGCAGCAAACAGAACTGTTAAATCATGAAGAGCTCAGTGTCAGGAGGCACAAAGAAAGATAAAGAAACCAAAAAACTTCGATAACAAAGACCTTTGGACAGCCATCCATCTGCAGCTGGCAAACGATTTTCTCTCCCACTATGTGGCCAAAGTGCATTGAGTAGGAAAAGACAGCAAACAAGGATGATCCGAGAAAATGCAACTTGTGTCTTTCCAAGCCTCTTGGGAATCAGCCCTACTTGCTTATAGGAAGAGGGTAAAAGTCAGGTAAATTGAAGAGACTGAGCTAAAACAGGCTTTCCATTGCAGCAGAAGCATAGGGGAGTAAGAAGCTTCAGCTCATGGAGAACTTTGCATCTCCAAGACCTCTGTGGGCCTGGTCTCTGGAAGTATGGTTGCAATATGCTTTGTGTGTGTTGTGTAATGAGTGACTGCATAATGAAATTGCTGAATGTATGAATATCTCACATGTAGATTTCATTTTGTTTAATCTGATTGTACCCTTGTCCCTAAAAGCGGCTGAAATCTGTGGAAACCCCCCACCCCACAACATCCTTCAGCCTTAAAAAGGCAAATTGGAGCAAGTGCTCTGGCCCTGGCAGGTGTAGGTTGGATCTCTAAACCTGCAGCTGGAAGTCAAGGCAGCAGCTGGGTGAAGTCCAAAGCAGTAGTGATGTAGAGGGGAAAAAAAATATCGAGCAGTCCGAAGTATAAACCTGTTTTCCTTGCACCTGTATTTGGCTGCTAGAGCTGGGAAGCAATATTGCTCGGTGTGTGGGCCTGGATTCACCCTGGGATGGCTATGTAGGCAAGTACTGGAAGGACTCGGTCCTCCAAGGCTATTTTAACAGCGCTGTGCAAGCGAGCTGGGGTACCAGCTCAGGACTCATGAGCATCTCTGCAATAACAACCCAATGCATGGCCTGAACAAGTGGCCCAGCAAGAACAAAACATGGAATTGAGCCCAGTTCTTGTGAGCAACTCTGTGATACCAAAAGCCCTGCTCCAGTAGTCAGCATGGTCTACTTTGCAGCAACCGTACAATAATAACTCAGCATCTATCTGCAACAAAGGGAAATGCCAAAGAAAATATAAATTTTGATTTTCCTATTTACAGCCTTCATTTACTTGAGTATCCCTAGAAGGCATGAGGTTTCTGTTTATGAAATACAGTTACTGGATGCCTAAAGAAAATGAAATTCAATTAAAAGAGATTCAACACTTTGTGAAGGGAAATATGTCTTGATGTTCGTTAAACAAATTTCCTTGTACATCTGCCCTTCCCTGCCAGCTGTCATCAGATCAGCTCTGGCTCGTAAGGGAAAAACACTCAAACCATTCATTCCTGCCTGTGAAATCTCTTTGGTGTTCTGGCTGCCTGGCAAGAGGGGAACATTGCGGAGCTGAATGACCAGGGTGTCCCGAGCTCTCTCTGTACAAGGCTGGAATTGCCCAGTTGTATTGCAAAAGCGAATGAACATAGCACAGCCCGTGCAAAAACCTGGGCAAACAACTGGCCTCTTTCCTTGTAATTGCTATTTTGTCATTTCGCAAGCTCCATGTGAAAGCCCCGGTTGTTTTATGGCTTGCAAAGTGTATGGCAGGCCGCAGAGCAGCGTGGATGGCCTGATGGCCCTGAGTCTGCGTAAGTGTGTCACCACGGCTCTGGAGCCCTGATGGTGAGAAGCCCAGGGTGTCACATGATGTTTGTGTGGCCTGCAAAACAGCTTACAAACAAAGAGAAAGTGGCATTAAGCACCTTCATTGCTATTTAAAAGAAGACAAAGTCTGTCTGCTTTTACCAGGACAGAGCCTAGTTGCTCCTGGGGTTGGGACTGCACTTCAAAACAGTCTAAATCACCTACACAACAGGGGTTTCTCTCTGCTAACACCTTTTTCTGGCTTCTCATTAGGGGCCTCCAACAACTTGATAAATGAAGTTTATCTCATGTGAATGAGGAGTGCTTTACATCGACAGGCTCCACTTTCCTTCCTTTGTTGACTCGCTGGGCTCAATTCTCCTTTCTCCCTGGTATATATATCACTTTACTGGTTTTAGTGACTTGTGACTGGCTCCAGTGAAAGGGAGATGATAGTCACCATGGGAAGGCAGTTGCTGATACAAATATAACTAGTTGCTTATCCAACTCCCCAGTTTCAGTTCTGCAGTAGAAGTTTTTATCTGATTTTGGGTGGGTCGCTCAGACCCGTGAATAGGAGTAGATTCACTTTGCTTAGTAGCAGACATCTGTGATGCCCATGTCAGCATGTGAGTGAGCTGTCTGGGCACTGCTAATGGCCGGTAGGTCTCAATAACAAGTGAGTGAGGTGAGTTGCTCTTGAGGGGCCTATTTCCTTCTGTTGTGTCCAAGGAGAACCGGGGATGGCCAGCTCAGGCGTCAGCCTCTGCCTCTGGTCAAACGAATACCCCTGGGTGTCTGGCACTTCTTGTTTTCAGCCTGTCCTACATTCCTCTATGCCTTGACAGATCTGGGCCTCACTGTCTGTACTTCAGTCCCTGGCTTCAAATGGGAAACTTCCCTATGTGGGGACAACAGAAAGGGGATTCAGGAAGAGATGTTAAAGAGAAGCAAGTAGGCCTATTACTCTGGAAGGCCCATAATTACCCACTTCATCAGGCCTAGGCATGGTGTCTCTTCCTTAGCTGAAATATCCCTGGGGTTCACTTGACTTATAGAGGTTTATCTCACAGCTGGTTCCTTGCATGGTGTGGATTTAGCCTTCCTGCCCATCTTCTCCCTCAGTGTGCGGGACAGCAGAGGTAGCAGATATTGTGTTCCTTGTGGGGCAGTCCCAGAGCACCGAGACAGAGAGCACCCAGCTAGTCAAAGACTTCATCTCCAGCTTGGCCCACTCCTTCGAGAATGTGGTGATGGGCAAAGGAGGTGTTCGCCTCGGGGTAGCACTCTACGAGGAGAAACCAAGGTAGGTCAGTCCATCCTCCTCCATCAGCAGGTGGGTTCCTAATGCCCTACAGCTATGGGCAGGGGCAGATTTTGCTGAGTGGCCACGTACCCTTGGTTAAAGAGCTCTTGCTGTTCATCTGAGCCAGGGTAACTAGCTGAACCATCCCAAGAGCAAAGCAAGAGTTAACCCGCCAGAAATGTCACCAAAGGGACAGCAGGCTAGAGGCACTCAGCAATGGGGAATTCTTTCAGGGCAAGTTAGGTGGTATTTAATGCAGCCACAAGAATCCCCACTGTCCAGTTTTAGATACTGTTTTAAGGAAAGAAGTTTCTCTGGCTCATACCCTGAACTCCCTTGGCCACGGTGAAGAGGGCTCCTTGTCTATTTTTGAGCCTAGTGTGACCAGCGAGGTATCAAAGCAGTTGTTAGTCATTACCATTAAGGATATATTCTTGCTGTAACAATAGATTTTTCTAGCTCTTTATTCACCCATGTCCCTCCATTTCTCATTCCCAGGATGAGTATTGAGCTGACAGATTATGTAACCATTGAAGAAATGCTGGTGGCAATTCAGGATCTCTCATTCAAAGGGGGAAGCTTAAAAACAGGATCTGCCCTGGCATTTGTGGCTCGTGCCGTGTTTCATCCTACCATGCCGAGGAAGGATGCAGCAAAGGTAAGCGACCTTCTGTGATGTCTTCCCTGGTGTGATCCTCTGAAGGGATCCGACCTCTGGCTTCTTCACCTGAAGGCATGTAGGAGCCAGTTGGCTTTTCTTCATCCCATCTGTTTTTAGGGTTGGAATTGAGGTACCTCGGTTAGGAGCTCATTTCAGATTGGCTGACTCACCTTTGGAAATGCTTCTCTCCCCACACTGATTACAGAGACCCAGCACTCCTGTCTTAAATGCCTCCAGCTGAATACCTGAATTCATGGCACATATTGTGCAAGCAAAAAGAACAGGTTCACATTGTCAGGCACCGTAATGGCCTCAGGACACTATTTAGACATGAGAGGGAGACAAGTCCTGGCATTTGTGCCTCCTCTGTGTGAATGATGCTAATGTTGCTAATGGGTTACATACACCCACTCCTCTTACGGAGTGTGCCAGTACAATTAACATCTTGTTTAAGAAGCAGGTATGCTGTAGTATCTTTACCTTTCAGATATTATTCTGGGTCACCAGTTTCCTCAGATCATATTTAATGAGTTTTTTTCCATCATTTTTAAGGGATTCTTAATTCTGAGAATACTAAAAAGAAGGCACTGCATTCTAGTTTGCTCGGCAGACCTGCAGGAGGCAGTTTGCTCTGCTCTGCTCTGCTCTGCTGGCAGCCTTGGAATCAAGAAGAGGGCAGCCACGTAAGGAAGGAGTAGAGACATACCTCATTCATCGAGTCTGAAACGATTACAGCCAGAATTTGCCTCCTGTTCTCCCATGGCCAGGCATGGACCTTCCACATTTGCAGCTTGATGCTGCACCTTCTCTCCTTCTCTAAGATCCTGGATGGCAGATGTGATCTATGTGATCCATGCAGTCAGTGCAGTGTGATCAATGATGCGATTTATTTTGGATAACAAAGCAGGAAGGAGAACATGATGCTACAGGTGGGATATGTTACCTACCTGCTTAAAGGTGTTGTAGTGGAGTCCATTCCCCACTACAGGATCCAATGTATCAGCTACATATCCTTTTACATGATCTGATGCGTGACTGCCCAAAGAGCTTGAAAGGTGTGGGGTTACTGTGCTGCTGAGTTTGGCTTTAATTTAAACCCAGGCTGTGGCTGAGAGAGTTTCCTCCCACCCGATATCACCCTCCAGGTACCAATGAGCATGTGTGTTGTCCAAGGTGCAGCTGAGTCCTACTTTCAGAGCTGCTGTTTTGGACTTCCAGGGCTGAATCCTCTCTCTGTGCTGTCCTTAATCTCCTCCTGGAGCCAGTGTTACTGCCCCGAGCAGAGCTGAGACACGGTAGGGCAGGAGGAGATGTGCAGATTAGAAGCTGCCATGAACTGTGGCTTTTTTGCTCTGGTTCCTTCCCAGCTCGTGCTCTCCAAATCCACGAGCTAACCCAGTGTGCTTCTGATTTCAAGTGGGGTGCCTTAGAGGTGCAGGTTATCAAAGGATTAGTTTTCAAGTGTTCATCTTTTTAGAGGGATGCAGTTCGTCCAAGGCCTGTGCCATAGGTGTGAAAATACTGCAGTTGTCTCTATAAACTCCTCATTATGTGCTCTTTTGTTGCCTGGATCTGACTCCAATTCTTTGCAGATAGTTGTTTTGATCACAGATGGGAAGTCTGGCGATTCAGTTGAAGAGGAAGCCCTGGTTCTGCAGGATTGGGGCGTGACAGTGTTTGCTGTAGGTATGTACAGACTCACTAAGGAAGCTGGAGCGTTGCTAGCAAAGACGTTGTGTGCACCAACATAAAAGTTATGCACCAGGAAAGACTCCAGATGCACAACAGTGTCCACCTCTAAATGCTGTGCTCAACCCCGAGCTTAGGCACTGGCAACTATTGCATGTACAGGGAAATCGCATCTGCGCTATGCTAGGATGTTTTTTGTTGTTGTCGATAGCCGATTTCTTCAGTGGAAATGTGCAGTTTTGCATCTGTCAAAGCTACTTATGAATTCAGGAGGAGTTCAATAAATAGTTCCATAAAAGTCAAAATGTTTTGATGTGACATTTTCAAAAACGAAATGTTCTTACTTTTGAAGGTTTCTGTTAACAGGAATTGAAGACCAACTTTAGCAATGTTAAAAATATCCATCAGAATAATTCCATGGGCAAGAAAAAAAAAAAGCCCCCAAAAGCTAGATGCAGTAATTTATTACAAGTTGAACCCAGCACTCACCAGAGGAATTCAGGGGAGAAGAAGGGGTGGAGAGGCCAGGGAGATGCCATTATGGAGAGCGAGTGAGTCCCTTTAGATGAACACAAGATGAAAATTAGGCTTTTTTTTTTTTTTTGCGAAACTCAAAAAAACCCAACAATTTTCACATAACTTTCAACAGCCTCCCAAGGACTCAATCTCTGCTCACTTACTTCATCAGAAAGGCGAAAAGGTTTCTATACCCAACAGAAGGGGCAAGGCCAGATATCCCGCCCTGCTCCCTTTCACTCCCAAGCCCAAGCAACCCATTCACAGCTGACTTCCCTGGGGCAATCTCTAACATGCCTCTGGAGGTAACCTTGACCTTTTTTTCTCTGAGGCAAGATGTTTCATCAGCTCCACCACTGCTTGTTTACCTTAAGTCTCCGTTCCTTGTTTCATCCTTTACCTTGGGCAGCATGACTGCAAAGCTGATGTAAAACATGACAGCCCTCAGAGGCCAGCACATCACTCCTGTTTGCTCTTGACGATGTCTGGCCTATGCCAGTGATGGTCTCTGATGCTCCTCTTTTCCTTATCTTCTCTTTGTCTAGGAATTAAGGATGCTGATAAGAATGAACTGAATAAAATAGCTTCTGAGCCTACTGAAGAGCATGTGCTTTATGTTGACAATTTCCACCTGCTCCACAATGTGGCCCCCAAACTCTCTCGAAGGCTCTGTTTCACTGCCTCGGAGCCACCACGACCCATCAAGCAGATTGTCCAAGGTGTGTCAGGACTCCCCCTTTATCCTGCTTTCCACCCTCTTGAACCAGCCCCTTCCTGGTCCCTGGAAGTGGCAGCCATACCATGGAGATGGACCTCCCGTGTCCCCTCTGTTCATTACAGGGGACCTTTTGGGGGGTGGATGGCCCTACAGGATCAGTCAGCTCATGAAGTGCCTGTTGCTTGGGGGAGTGGTCCTGCATATGTTGCTTGTGTAAGTGTCTCCATGGTTCATCTGGCAATGCAGGCTCCTGAAGTTCTCACTGCCCATTCAGGCAAGGGGCAGAAGTTGCACACTAGGACAGCAGTTCTGCCTTTCAGTGGCTCTCATGATGAGACTGTCACAGTGAGTTCTGGCAGCACAGCTCAGGGTCTCCATAAGGACTTTATTCCTTGCAGAGAACAGCCAAAGAGATCTCCAAAGAGACCTAGATGTCTCTCCAAAGAGATACAGATGTTGCAGTGAACCTAGAGGTGGTAGCAATGAATTTTTGCCCTCCTTTTGGCACACGGACTTATGAGAAGATGAAGTAAAAGCTGGGAGCGGAGCTTGGAAGAATGTCATCCATTGGCATGAGCCCTAAGTCACCATAGGATCTGTTTTGCTTTCTCTGTTGTTCTGTACCACTTCAGAGCTTCCTGTGATTTTTCAAGGGTTCAAGCTTTGTGTTAGAATCATCTCTGGTGGCAATGAAGAGGAAGGTAGAAAGGAGCTGATGCCCTATGCGTTAAGCAGGTGTTGAGAAGGGAGAAGTTGCCAGAACTAGTTTTGTTTTCCCTTCTTGTGCTGTCCAGCAGTTTGCCAAAAGAAAATCTGCTTGGGTGGCTCTTGTCTGGAAACAGATCCTGGTTGCTTGTTTCAGGCTAAGTGAGGGACATTTACAGCCAAGGCTTTCTGTGCAATGAATATGGTGATTTCATTAAAGAAAGATCTGCACATATCCAGCCCTGGCTTGATCAATAGTGGCATGAATCAAAGATCTTTCCTTTCTCTTCTTGCAGCTGAGAAGATCATCGGTCCCCGGGATTTGCTTGTCAGTGAACACAGTCACAGCTCACTGCGGCTAACATGGGTGCCGGCTACAGGGAAAGTGATTGGGTACCGTGTCCACCTGCATCCTTTGCTGCCTACAGGGCAGCCGGTTTCAGAGGATGAGCAGCAGGTAGAGTTGCATTCCTGTTGTGCAGATCCTCGGTGTTTGTCTGAAGGGATGAGCTGTGCAGGTCCCAGGGTTAGCAGCTAGTCCGCTGCTGGAGGCTGCTGCTGCCGCAGCCAAAGTCAGGAGATCATGTCCCTCAGCCATCCCACTCACAGCGCAGTAGATTAGCATAAATTGCTGAAGCAGCTTGCTGTGACCTGGACTGGCAAGCAGAGGTATGCAGCGTGCTATTGGGGTGATAAAAGCTGCTGGCGAAAAGGAACAGGAAGAAAAGGAGAATATTTTAGACTGCCTGTCACAGCCTTCATGCTTTTTTATCAGCCATTCCTCCCTGGGGTTGGGAAGTGAATTAGACAATAGGCCATTTCTAGGTCTCTAGACAGACCATCTGACTTGCAGGCATGTTGATTGCTCATGCTAATTTTGGCATTGCTGTTGTGGTGAGGCAGACTTTCTGAGACTGAGGTGAGGAAGGAAGGATGGAAGGAGAATATAGCTCCCCTGTCACAAAGTCCTCTGGGATTCATAAGGTCCCAGCATGCTCCAGCTTCCCTAGTAGCATCCCTTGTTCCTCCCAGTCACACCTGAATGACATGTTCAGGACCTGGGATCTTGGTAAGATTTCTGTGTATTTTGGTTTTGGATTTGCCATGTCCTTGTGCGAGGGCTATCACAATGCGTGTCAGTTTGCTCAGGGTCAGCTTTGTCACTGCATAAAGTCTAAGAGCAAGATTGAAAGAGAGAAGATTTTGGCCTAAAGCTTTAATTTCTAATAACAGAACAAAGCTATGAAAGCATAAAATATTAAGATTAAGATTATTAATGGTATTAATTATTAAGATTGTCTTTAACAGGAATGATCATCCTTGGCTGTTTCAGAATCTCATAGGAACATAGAGAAAACACAGAAGTTACATCTCCACCTCTCTTTTCCTTGGGTTAAGCTGGAATCTCCTCCTAGTAGCTTAAAAAACTTTCTTTATCTAAGATGGCTGCTTTTCCTCCATTTTCTCTAAGGTGGAGCTTGGGGAACCCCTTCACCCCTTGTGCACGCTCTTGTTTTCGTGGGGTCTTTCTTTTCTGGGCTCTCCCGTGAAACCCAGCCTTGACACTATCCTATGCTGCACAACCCCTCTCCAACCTGTGTGCACCTGGACCTGGGCACAAGCACTGAGGAGCCCTGAAGAGTCACTGCTCTGAAGAGTCACGATGCTATGTCCAGTGTGAACGTGGGTATCATTTGAGGATTGCAATGTGCTGAGCTAGTGCCTTTTAAGAGGCTACTGCTACTCATGGAAGTTACCTTGCATCAGAGAAGTGTAGTGCTTCTAACCTGTTGCAAACATGGTGGTCTTCTACTATCGTGGAGATGACATGATGTCCTTTGTCCATGTATGTGACAGATTGTGGTGGATGGTGACAAAGGCACCGTGCTGGTGACTGATCTCAAACCCAACACCAAGTATGTCTTCACAGTGCAGGCTGTCTATGCAGAGGCTCTCGGAGAGTCGACAACTGTCAAGGGTAAAACAAGTGAGTGTCTGTTCTGCAGTCGTCCCTGCATGTTCCTTGTCTGTGGGGCCCAGAAAGACACCAGCCCTGAAACCGTACGTGCAGGGAGCCAGGGTAGTGGGGGAAGGAGGACCATCTCCTGTCCAGATGTCCACAGAGCATCATGCGTGAGTGGGTGCAGAGTGAGGCTGTGTAGGGACACTGTGGGTTGGGGAGCGTTATGTGCAGCATAGTGTGTTTGTGTGTATGGTACCTGGAAGTACAGGGTGCAGCTTGCTGCGTAGCTTATATCATCTGATTTAATAAACTGCAGGATTTATGAATCTGGGCTGGGGTTCAGGTAATGTAACTCCCATGTACCTAGAGTGAAAGAAACTCTTGGAGGCAATAATTTTATAAATATAGACATGATGTTTATGGATAGGTTTATATTCTAAATGCCTTGTTTTGGAAATGGTTGGTCCAAAAGTTTTGGCTTGGTAGTAGGGCTTCATTTCACTCAAGGGGAACGTCAAGCTTGTATGACCAGGGCCATTAGGAAACGCCCCAAATAGTAATCTGTGATCCTGTGGAATGAGCTGGATCTCTTCTGGATTGCAATGTGCTATGCAAAATTTCTTTGCTGTCTCATCACTATCTATAATGACAAAGTTTTTGGAAACAAAGGGCCAACTTTGCTCTAGGCCAAACCCTGGAGCGCAAGACCTGCTGACACTGGGTCAGATGTGGTGGGTAGAGCAAGTTTAGATCCAGAAGTTTCTGCACTGCTGTTGTTTAAGGGGTGCACTAATTCTGCTGCTCTGATTTGCATGAAGCACCAAATCTGCTTTGCGTGAAGGATCTGGAAGAGAATTATTCCTTTCCTCTTTTTCTTTTATTTCCTTTTTTTTCCCCCTGTAATGACTAAATTGTTTGTCTTCTTGAGGGAAGATCTCAGACAGGATGAATAAATAAAGAGCCTCAATGAGGTTGACTCGTATGTACTTGCCAAGAATAAGATGGAATGTCTTTATGGGTGGAAATAAAATCATTTGATCTCTTCTCTTTAATATCTCCAACATGAAGCCAGAGGCAGAAGCTATAAATTTGTCTGCCATGGCTGGCTGGATCAAAATGGGTTCTTCTTTGTGAGAGTTGCGTCCATAGGTGCAAGTAGCATTTGATTCATGCGTACTTGTGCAGCTTTGCTCGGTCTGCCTGAAAATGCAGCAGAGTTTTCTCTGTTTGCAGGGCAATGCCTTGTGGGTAGATATTTCACAGTTCCCAGCAGCATTCAAAGAGGAGTTCTACAAGCGCTCTGCCAAAGGGAGGTTTCAGCTCATTTTTCAAGGCGGGCAAGGGTGTGACAGGAGGGAAGATTGTTCTTGAGGACGCAGCTGAGAGAACAGGGAGAACTGTGCTTGGAGGCCAGTTTCTGCTCGCCGGTGTATCTTTTTGTCCATAAATAAAGAAAAGATTTTCTAGGGGTCTTTGTTGTGGCACATTAATACAGCACTGTCCCATAAATTTTTACATCATTTTTGTACCCCAAAGCTCCTGTCCCTCCAGTCACTAATTTCCGTGTGATAGAAGAAGGACTTTTTAGCTTGAAGGTGGCTTGGACACCTCCCCTAGGCAAGTTGAAAGGCTACAAGGTCTACATTCCTAGAGGTGAGTTGAGATTTTATTAAGCTTTCTTAGAGTTTTCTTTAAAATGAGCAGTGTCCTGAAGACAGGAAAGGTGACATTTTGTCTAAGGCCTGGCAGCATCATTACAGTACAGTGTTCCTGGCATTACCTTGGAACAAGGCCAGGTTGGCCTCTTCCACACAGCATGGTTCCTCTAGTAGAGAGTGGGAGCATCCTTTGAAGGACTTTTTTTTGAAGGTCAAGATGGGGATGATGCCGTGGATGCCTTGTACCCATCCGCACTGTTACATCCAGATCTCCTCTGGATGTTGTTCGTACTCAAGTGCTTAGATGTAGACATGAGGTGAGTTCAAGCTTTTGATATGGGCCATACTCTCCTCCTGGTGATCTGTAAGGATGGGAACTGTTTGGACATGTCAAGCCTAAGCTGCAGCATGAGCCTCAGCAAAAGCACATGGGTTGAGGGCCTTCAGCCACTTAACCATGCATTCAAACCAGCTGCTGTGCATGCTCTTCACCATGTTGTGATGACATCGCCATGAAGCTAGGCGTCAGGTACTGGGAAGGCAACAGTGCTGAGCTTCCCTGTCACTCTCCTCTTTGGTTTTGCAGCCAAGAGACCGGGAATGACCTATGAGCAAGTTCTGCGGGGCGACGCTATTTCCCACGTGCTGGATAACCTGCAGGAAGATAGAGAGTACAGCATCAGCATCTACGCGGTGTACCCTCAGGGGCCAAGCCAGCCTGTGTCTGCCGTGGGAAGAACATGTAAGAGATTTGACTCCTTGGCTGGTTCCTTATTGCACTGAGTGATGTGTTCAGACCCTTTGCTATTGATAATCACCCCACAATTGGCAGTGCCATTTGGCATTACCAAACAGCTCATCCAGAACTTGTGCTTCATGGAGAATTGGGGCAGACTGCAGTGGCCAAGGGTTTTCTGCCACCTGAGAGCCTACCCCTGTGTTTTCCATTAGACACCTTCCCCCATTGGCTGTCTACCCTTCCTTCCCTGCCTGCCCCACATGCTGACTGCCTGCCTTCCTCGCCCCTCATGTTCAGGCCTCAGACCTCAGTATCTCGAGGCACTGGTCCTGGAAAGCAACGGTCACAGATTTGTGCATTTTCTCCACTGCTGTTGGGCCAGACAGCTGTCGTATATAAGATACCTTCAGCCTGCCAGGCAGTGCAGGAGCCCTTAGAAATCCCTCTCCCACTGACAGATGGGCTGGAGGAACAGAGAGGTAGGGAGAGCAGCCAGCAAAGTCATCAGCTGGCAAGCAGGTGCACTGAAAGGTTTGTTCCCTGCCCTCCTTCCAGTAAAACTCCTGCCTGTGAAAAGCGTATTGCTGCAGAATGCGACGACCGACACGCTCCAGGCCAGATGGAGTCCAGTCCGGGGAGCGACCGGCTACAGGCTCACCTGGATGTCGGCAGGTAGAGTCCTGGAAAGCAGAGTGGGGTACGTGCATTGATGGCAAGAGAGCTGGGGAGAAGAGCTGTGAGGCCCCTCCCCCCCCCGGCACTGGATGCATTGATGCTTTCTGAGACACCAGCATGTCCAACAAGAAGCTGGAGGGACTGAGGCTTCTTGGCTCTGTGAACAGTGGAGTTTTGTGCACCTGGGGATAAATTAGCAGCCTGCAATAGAGAGCCTACCATGGAGCTCTGTGAGTAAACTCTGCAAAAATACCCACTCTTGGTCTGCACAAAGTGGGCCAACCTATAGCCAGCCTTATTAGCATGGGCTTAGTGCCAGATATGCTGGACCTGAGTAGCCCAGGAAAAGGTTAATAGATGGAGTGCAGCTAGTAAAGTACTCTGTGCAGAGCAGCATATCCTGCAGCTTCCATGTATCTGGGGTTACTTTTTGGGGGGAGGGGGGGTGGAAACCAGATAATGGAGTGTAATGGTTGATTTTGTCAACGCAGCTGCAAGACCTGACTTTGAAATCCAGCTTCCCATAATGCGTCTAAATTCTCAGGCAATTTTTGATGTTGGAAGACAGATCTGCGTTTTGCAGCTGGAGCTTTTCCTTTGCCCTTAACCCAAACATATTTTCATTGCTGATGTGGGGGAGCAGAAGTTAGAAATTCAGGTTTGATGGCATATTTTGGCCTTGGGAGATGGATGTTTCTGTGGTTCAAACACAAGATGGGATGTCAGGACACCTGGGCTCCATCATAGACTCTGAATAAATAGCACTCCTCTGGCTCAGCTCCCTTGGTTATGAAATAAAGAGACATCTCCCACCAGGGGAAGTGGGGGGTTAGAGAACAGCTCTAAAGGTCACCTTTAGAAGGGAAAAATCTTTATGAGGATGATATAACACTGGTTATATTGCTTTGTAATGAACCAGTAATGAATGGTTCTCAAGAAAAAAATCAAGATAACCCCCAAACTCAGCTGTTTACCCAGGCCTTGTTCTATATCCCAGCCTGAAAGTGAGTACACAGGCGCTCAGCTTGCCATGTCTTTGGGACACGAACTGCACATAAGGACACCCCTTCTCAAGGGGACAGCATGCGATGTCCTCAGCTGAGGAAGCCTGCAGCACAGGTAGCAAGCAGGAGCAGCCCATAACCTCCGCTTTGGATTTTTTCTTTCAGAGCAGCCATTTCACCCATTACTGCCTCACCTCGAATACAAGGGGGGCAAAAACCCAAGGGGTAGCCCACCCTCACCACCTGGCCCTGCACATGGCTGCAGTCAGGGCTTCGTCTTGGCTTGGTCGAACGTGCAAGCTGTGGGGTCCTGCTGCCACGATCCAGCATGTTCCCCAGGATGGGATTTGGCTTCAGAGGCACCATGACGTTGAGATTGAGATGAGTGTCTGTGTAACACAGCCTTGCTGCATGGCAGTAACTCATGGTATTTCTCTTTGTCCGGTTTTCCCTGGTGCCTGGCTCCACGACAGGGGAAATGGGGGCTCACATGCATTCGCCCTGTGCTGTTATGCACAGATTATAATGACTTATTGGCCTTTTCTCCCTGCATACAAGGGTTTTGAGGAGGAAAAACCCCACCTTATGTCCGTCCCTGGGCAGCCATCCCAGGGGCTAGAGGAGGTTGATTTTTCTTCCCTGACTTCTAGGACGGAGAATAGATAAAAATAAATGAGCAGCTGATGTGGAGAGAAGGTCCATGTGTGGGGTGGGAGAAGGGGGATGGGGCAGAGAGTGCTGGTGGAGCTGAAGATGGGGACATGGCACCCTCCAGTGACCAAATTGCAAATGGCAGCATCCTCCCCACCCCGCTCAAGCCCCGCGCCTGCTGCAGCCTGCACCTCTGCACCTCTTCTGCCCCTCTGCAACACAGGGTGCGATCCCCAGGGGTTAGGTGTTAACTCTTCTCCAGCCATGCCTCCCGCTAGGGCAACGCTGAAAAGGTGTAGCAGGGCTGCTGATAGTTTAGAGCAGAGATACAAAGAAAGGATTAATCCTGAGAAAATATCTCGTGTAGCATCAGTTGGCTCCTGTGTGCTACAGGGAAGGCAGAGGCTGGGCAGTACAGCTTGGGCACTGAGTCACACAGGGCTGGGCAGAGTACGAACCGTCTTACGGAACTACTTGCACTATCCGCATGCAGCTGTGCCTGTGTTGCTGACTTCATTCATTTTCTTTGGCCTGCAAAGTCCTGAGCTGCCTTGGTCTGTCAGTAATTACTGGGGTCTGCCTGAGAAGCTGAGTATAATTTCTAGCTGTATTTAAACGAGCATTCCACCCAAGATTTGAGCATAGCGCACTAGTGTCCCTGTGGTCCTTGCCTCGAGTATCTTAAGGGCGCATACACAAGCCAGCAGGAAGAAATGCTACTTGATCTCGTTTAACCAAGGTGAAATGAGGGCAGAGAGACCTGTGGAGGCAGGAATTGAGCCCTGCTGCCAGAGTACGTTTAAAACATCCTTCCTCTTCCTGTTTCTCCCAAGACCTGGTTGCATGTCTGGGTGATGAGTTCAAAGTTAGAGCTGTCGCTGTGTAGTCTTTGGATGGTCATTTGTGTAATCACACACAGCCCAAGCAGGTGGCCCTTCTTAGCCTGACCCAAGGGAGCTCAGCCATTGTTTCCTTTTGCAGAGGGCAGCATCCAGGACGTGAACCTCAGCAACACCTACAGCTACTACATGATCCAGGGGTTGCAGCCTGGCACAGAATATACCGTCACCATCAACCCCATCTTTGGAAATATCGAGGGGCCAGTGGTGAGCAGAAAAGCAACCACTGGTAAGTGTCCTGCACCAGGGATGAGAGAGGGGGAAACAGCCCAGCGGACGTGGCCCAGGGACGAGGCTGTTCTTTCAGTAGTTTCCCCAAAGTCCTTTTCTCCCCATATGACCAGGCACCTATTTGGCGTTGGCTGTGTCTCTTCTATGGGGCTCCAGCCTTTGTTCGCTTTGCAGCCGTGTCCCGCTGTAGAGTGAGAATCCCATACCAAGGGATGGGGAGCTGTTCCCCAGGATAGACACAGCCAGAGAGGATCAGAAACACATGGAGACTTTGAGAAGGGCTCTATTAGCAGTGCTAGAGAGACACCAAGAGACACCAAATGCTATATGGGGGAAGAGGATATTCTGGTGGAGAAAGCCACCATAATGTGAGGCATCCCACTGGGAAAGTGTGGCTTCACGTCCAGGTCCGGAGGCAGAGAAATTATTGGTTCTTCCACTTCTCTTTGCCTTAGTCTTCACTAGGGAAAGGCTAGTTGTTTTTCTCTCCTCTGTGGGATTTGTGGAAGTGACTGGACCGTCCTGGACCTAGCACCCTTGCACCAAATAATTCTTGCTGGGCACAGCAGTGCCCTGGGGCCCCAGCCAGGATCACAGCTGGCTTGTGGTCAAGAGGTGGATAGTAGAAATCCCTTTGCTTGCCGTTATTTACAAGCCAGGCTCTCTGTTCTCAGAGCCGGTATCATTTGTAGTCAACACTGGTTATCTGGCGCAGATACCAGTCTGGGTAGTCACAGCTTTTTGGGGCCAGTCAGAAGCTGCTGGGGACCTTGATGCAACTTGGCAACTCTGTTCTCTCACAGTGGCATCAAGCACCGTCCAGATGCTGAAAGTCAGTGAGATATCCATCAACAGTGCTCTGGTCTCCTGGGACTCAGTTGCTGGGGCCACTGGGTATCGAGTGGCTTGGGGTCCTACACCAGGTGAGATCCTGCTCCCCTCCAGCCTGCATCACCCACACCTCCTCCTGTAGCACAGGGAGATAAGGGACTGGGAACAGTGGTATTTCACAGATTTCACAGAACGGTTGAGGTTGGAAGGGACCTCTGGAGATCATCTAGTCCAACCCCCCTGCTCAAGCAGGGTCCTCTAGAGCATATTTCCCAGGTATCCCACATTGTAGGTATAGGGGCAGGTCCAGCACATTAGCTGGTCTGAGTAGCCTGTCCCACAACTTCAGGGCATGAATTGAAACCAGAAACTACTCCTGGACCTGAGTCAGTGCCAGCAGGCAAGGTCCCTACAGCAAGTACCTTCAGACTGACGCCAGTGCTAGGCGTATCTCAGTCAGTGCACCTTGCCCTGCCCCTCAGTAAAGAGGTGAGGGTCAGGTAGAACAAGGGCTTTGCATCTCCCTAGAGGTGCTGAGGAGGGTCAAAGCACATGCTGGAGCAGCACCTGGGCTGCACTAAGTTATGGGGGGGTCTGGCAAGACCCCAGATATGAGAGCTACAGAGGTGTCCCCCTGCCCCACGGTACACTCCTCTGCCTTCTGCAGGTGTGGGAAGAAAGTAGCTAGGAACCATGTTTTAGGAAGTGACGTAATGCCCTCAGTGTGGCTCCCCAACACCTGTCTGGCCACCCACCCTCAGATTCTGTACAGTGAGGGGCTGAATGCAGCCACAGCACAGAGAGAGGGAAAAGAGGCTATGCAGAAACCCATAACCGTTGTGACACAACCCAGGGCACACGTGTCATGCAGGGTGACGCTATGGAGGGGATCAGACCCTTCAGCTCCTCTTCATGGCAAGTCCTCAGGCTCACTGCATGTGTTGCTGTTATTAGCATGAGTATTAGTGGAAATTCAGTGGGAAACCAGCTGGTCATTTACCCTATAGTTGCACTTCTTTCTGAGTAAGTCACCCCTCAGCTAATTTGGTTCCTTTAGTCATTCGAATTACCTAACAAACAACTATAGAAAAACTCTCTTGCCCAAACATGATGGTCATGCACACACACGTCCTAAAACAGAGCTTCAGCCAGGTCAGAGATGGATGCAGGGTGAACACGTGTCTTTCCCAGTATGCAGTAGAGCTGTTTTCCATGCTCCTGGGTCTTCATCCTTTTTGTATTTTATTTACTCTCTCTCTGTCCCCCAAAGAATTCTTTGGCAAAGATCGTCCTCGGCAGCTGGCCCTCAACAAGTCAATCACAGCCTACCAGCTCCGAAACCTGGCCCATGATACGGAGTATGTGATTTCCCTCTATGTGCTCTTTGGCTCAGTGGAAGGACCAGGGATCACAACCTCAGCCCGGACACGTGAGTATGGGCAGAGCGTTCAAGTAGCTACCGTGGAATGTAACCCTTGCGTGGCTGATTGAACATTGTGTATCTTTATAAAGGCTGTACACTAGACATCGTGCACCCATCTCCTGTCACTGTAACCTTGCATCAGGGGCACCTAGTGGTCCCTTGCTCTGCTGACCTGTTGTGCCTGGTGAGTGAGCTCACAAATCCTGAGGGCTCTGGGTTTTCTATCTGGGAGTCTTCAGATGCAAACTGGAATTAGCGTACTCTGCAGTGGATCTGTTCACGTGCAGTGGTTCTGGGCAGAGCCTCAAATATGAACTGCCTGATCTACATTCACCAGACTTCTGGGCATTGTGAAATCCAGACAAACGGCCAAAGTCTTCTACACTGTCAAAAAGTCCAGCTGGAAAAGAGGAGAGAACAGGGAAAACTCTGCTGCAGGGAACCATAGGGAGATTCAGGGAGAAGAACATCTTAATATGGTTCATTCTGCCAACTGTTGCCTGACGCGAGTGTTTCCCCTGATGTGCCACAGTGCTTTCCCCTCCCCTCCCCTCCCCTTCTGCCTCAAAGCAGGGGAGACCCCACTGGTCTGTGCTGGGAGATCAGGTTGCCTGGACAAAAGGCAGCAGAGACAAATCCTTTCTCTGAGATCGGGAAAGATAGTGGTTTAGCTGGTGGCCGAAGCTTGTCCCTCCATGGCACACCATTGTACACCCACCTCAGCATTAGCGCAGCTTCAGGGGGAAATGTAGCAGCGCTGAACATGGTGATCAGCAAGCAGAGGTGAGACTTATACAGTACCAGATGCAACCTCAGAGAGGTTTAAAGATGGCAGAAGGTTACTAGCCACACTGGAATTTAGTATGGAGATAACGGACTGACCTGTGTGAAGAAGAGCATTCAGAGGTGAATACTGATGGGAGCTCCCATGGGAGCTCTGGGTGAATGTTTCACCCTAAAGACAGTGTGAGGCATAGGGCTTCAGATCTCATGACTCCATGCGTCCTGCTTGCCCTGGGCTCTCAGAGTTGCTCCTACCTTGAGCTAGAGCATAAAACACTCCTTGGTGCTAAGGGAGGTAGGATGCACACACTTGACACTCCTGGGGCCCCATACCTCAAGCAGTGCAAATCAGCATCTGTCTAGATGAGGACGATGACATACAGGGGATAAGCAGAGATACAACTTCTAAACCTCTTCCATGACTTTGTTCTTGTTATACTGCCCACAGGGAGCCCTGATGGGCAGTAGTCAGGGCACTATCTAATGCTGTCCCCACCTTGCAGCTCCTCTGGGCTACGTCTCCAATTTCAAAGTGGCGTCCTACACCAGCACAAGCCTGTCTCTGGCATGGAGTGCCACAGCAGCTGCCACCAAATTCAGAGTCACCTGGAGCCCTGTGGGAGCAGGCAAAGGTAAGCAGAGATGGGGTGCACATGCATGTTCCAGGTACAGACCCGTGTCTATGGCCAAGCCATAGGAGGTACCTTTCCAAACTCCTGGTTTACTCTTGTGCGTTAGAAGGATGCCCTGCTCCAGCCGTGATACTTCTGTCGCATAATTAATGAACCGTAACTATAAAAATGCAATCCATAGAACCAAAAGGGTATGGGTCGGACCTTGCAGTACTTGTATGGACTGGCTGGACTTCAAGGAGAGCATTGCCTGGGTATTCACTAAATGGTGGTGGTGTTGCACTTCCCAGATGAGGACTTTGGAAGATAATCCCGAAAGCTCTGAAAGAGCAGTACAACAAGGAATGGCTGTTTCTCTTGGAGGAGATGCCACCAGCCTCACTGCTGAGCTACCAGTTCTAAAGTATTCCCTCCTTTACAGAAAAGCAAGTTACCAAGACTCAGTACCTGGGCAGCAGAGTTTTGGCGTATCGGATTGACCACTTGCTGCCTGACACCTTGTATACAGTCAGCATTCGGGCCGTCTTCAACAAGACTGAGGGTCCGGACGTGACCCTCACTCACCGCACAGGTATGTCCTAGTGGAATGACATCAAGGCTGGAATCACAGACCTGTGCATTGCACCAGAGACGCTGATGGCTGTGCTACGTGAGTAGCCGTCATAGCTGGTAGCAATAATCCCTGGCTGGTCCCTGTGGTGCTGCTGACGACATAGGTGTAGACACATCCCACTGGCATGTTAACTATGCTTGACCCATGCAGGCAACCCCAGGTGTACTAATGTGCTGCCCAATCCTGTTTATCCACAGGGATCTCAGGAAGCCTATGAGCTTCAGAACTAGACTCAGAGCTATGAACATGGCACTGTGTAACTTGGACTGTTACTTCTGACATCTCATTCTGATTGATTCTTGCAGCATCTCTTGTAGACTCCAACACCATCCAGACTGTCCAAGACCTGAGGATTACTGACACTGGCATAAATAGTTTGAAGGTGTCTTGGGGGAGGCTTTCTGGTGTAACTCACTATAAGATATCCTGGGTCCCATTCAGCGGTAAGCATCCTGCTCTCTTCATTGGGTATGGTGTGAGGACAGAGCACAAAGATACCCATAAAATAGGAGGTTAGCGCAACTCATCTCTTTTCTCACAGGTGATTGGGGTAGATGGGGACTGTAATCTGAGAAATGCCGTGGACATATCAAAAGGGACAGGCTGAACCCCTGAGAATTAACCAGGTTTTAATCAATAACAAAGACATCAGTCATTGTAATTCATAGTTGGGATCTGGGAACTAGTCTCCCTTCTAGCAGAACAGGTGATGCCTTTGTGATCAGATCTCTCACCTGCCCATGCCTTGGTATCCCCATCTGAAAAGTGAGCTACTAACACTCCTCCCTTGCCCCTTGCCAGTTCCCCTAAGATCTGTATGGGGAAATTGCTGTAACAATTGTTAATAGCAATTGCCCTGCCCTTTCTACATAACAGTATTTTTTGGAATGGCTGCTCTCAGGTGGCTTGGAAATCTCCCAGCTGGTTGCAGCAGAGACTGTCTCTTTCACAATACCCAAGCTGAAGGAGAGCACTACCTACACCATCTGCGTGTCTGCAGTGATCGAGGGACAAGAGGGAAGCCCGACACTCCTCACAGCCAAAACCTGTAAGTACAGAGACCGCAGAATGGGATGAGAGCATCTCCACTGCAGTGCTGGGGGGCCAGCTCCCTCCCAGGGGCCATGACAGGAGGTGAGGATGGAAGAGGAGCAATACTGTCCGTTACCCACCTTCCTGCTTCTTAGATCCCACCAGCCACTGTGTCAGTAAATATGCATTTATCCTTTCTTCTTATTGCTGAGAAACATGGGGGCTTCAACTTGTCCTCTCCTACTTGCAACCATTACTGTGAAATGCTGATTTTGTGATCCATTACCTTGGAAGCTCTTTAGTTACAGTTACCAAACCGCTCATGACTCAGTGACATTATGCAACTTGACTGATGGTCTGGAATAGATAGATTCGGAGATCTAGTCAGGGAGAAGTTTGGGGTGTCGAGTGTGCTACGGTTTCAGGGAACACTAGCAGTTGGCACAAGTGAGCAGGCAAAAACTTCATTGGCTTTCCCAAGGGATCAAATTTCAGGCTCACTTTGGAGAAACACACAGCAGTCCAGGCTAAAGATCTGCTGGTGGTTATTTGTGAAAACTCCACCACTTCCCACCAAAGAAGGATCTAATTTGATTCAGCTTTTGGAAAACCTTTAGAATGCTCCAGGGGCTCTTCCCTCTCATCCTACAGATAAGTAGGCAGAAGGTCTCTGAAGTTGGTTGCAGGCCAAAGGATGTTTGCTTGCACACGCTTCTTTGCACCTTGGGCTGGATATGATCTGAGCCATTCACCAGGGGCTGGAACTGTGGACAGATTATGCTCATTGATGCAGGGATGTGCTTCATGTTCATAATTCCTATCTGGACTTCTTGTCTTTGATTTCAGTGAGGATAGGATTTGAGCTTCCCAAAGGATGCATCAGATTCCTCTTAGCCCGGCCAACCTCTCGACAGTAGCTTCTACCCACCCACCCTATGCTTTACCTGCGAAACACCAAAAAAGCAGTCACTGTTTCTTTTTCTTTTTCCAACAGTGGATTTACCCAAAGTGACTGAGTTCGCAGTGCAGGAGGCTGCAGAGACTAGCATTTTGCTGACTTGGACTGCTGTTTCTGGAGCATCTACATACTTATTGACGTGGCGTTTGTCCTCAGGTAACAGTTCTTTGGAGGGGCAAGGAAGGACAGTTTGAAATTCGGACCCCTCCTGTATGAGCTGCCACATCTCCAAGAAGATTTGAGAATGGAGCATGGAGTGTAGCAAGCAGTTCCATGAGCAAAATTAAGGGAACAGGGGATTTCCTATGGCTTTGTATCTTGCAGAGTTTAATCTGGTCTGGTTGTTGGTTGAAGCTTTTCCTGAGTTTGGGCACCCACAATGCTCCCATCCCATATGGACTCTCTGATATCTAATACTGTTTATGCTGCTGTTGTAGCCTTTTCCCCAGGGCAGGGCATGAGAGGACCCTCTCTTCTCTCTACCATCACCTGTTCTCCCAAAGCTTTTCTACCACGTCATAAATCTGAGGCCACTTTGGTCTCAGAAGTGACCAAAAATTTGGTCCAAACGGCTCAGTGGGTTCAGAAATTCCTAATGAGGGGCATGAGACAAGAGGGAGAAACAACCCATATGGAGACCATCATATAAGCCTTTCCTTTTTTAGAAAAAAAAAAAAAAAAAAAGGATCAACCCACTGTTTTCCCACACCTGTTCACCCCATTGCTAGCGTAAGTTTAGTTCAAAATATCATGGACAGGACAAGTCTGGCTTGCCCAGTGGACTTTTCAGTTCAAGACCTGGTCTTAGAGCCAGCTGATACAGTGGAAGATGCAAGTGGCCAGTATTAAAGGGGAAATTTCTTTTCATCACCAGCCTTAAGCAGCTGGCTGAGTCTCTGAAGTGTCATGACTTGTGAATACTCTCTGATTGATCTGAGGTAAGCGATGCTCTTATCGATCATATCTGCACCAAGCCTTCTTCTGCCGGCTCCGGGGACTTCCATACATGGCGACTTTTCATCTCTGCTTCCTCATGTGAGTGAAAAAGAGGTAGGACTGGAAACTGCCTGGCTCACCAAAGAGGCTCACGAGATGACCCAGCTGGCCCTTCAAAGTCCTTGGGGGAAGGAAATGGAGACATGAAAATTTCTGGGAAAAGAGCCTACCTGTTGCTGTTATCAGGGTCTCTTCCTCAAGAGCACTCAGTGCTCCAAGAGCAACTCCATGTCCATCAGGAAGAGTCGCAGCAAACTCACCGAGAAGAAGAGTGCCTGTGCCCATGGCGTCAAGCTCTCCTGAACCACAAACCTCCATACAGCCCCCGTTATGGCCTGTGACATCCTTCTGGTGTTCTCTGGCTTCACTTACTGATTTTCAACAGTTTTTAATATAAAACTCTCAGCAATTGCTCTTAACATCCCCTTTTCAATTTGTGACACGTATTAACACTACTATTCCTTTTTTTTCCTAAGCAAGGCTGGTTTTGTCATCAATGCAACCTTATTTCTTATCTGCTTAAAAGCTTTACTATTTAGAGAAGAGCTTTGAAAACTTTCCTAATCACTACTCACAATTTTTAGTGTACGCTTCTTTTTTCCAATGGGTTTGGCTTTGTGGGGTTTGCCCTTTTAAAGCATGGGCTATATCATTTTTTTCTGAATTGGGCCTAAATCTAATCTGATAGAGCAGGTTGCCTGTCCTTGTTGCTTCAGGTCCTAACTTTTTGCTCGCGGTCGGTTCATCTTCGCAAGTCAATAAAGAATACAGGTTTGACACAGAATTCCCTTTGCTCACTGCAAAGCTTTTTGAGTTACTAGGTCATCAGCTTTAATTTTTTTAATTCCGAGGACATTTTGGTATTGACAAAGTAAGACTCCCAGAATATGCCACTCAGGATAAAGTCTCCTGTGATAAGATTATTTTCTTTTGCTCTACACATTATGGATAAGTGATTAGGGAACTGAACATTCAGTTCTCTAGGGTGATTTAAGTGATCTAGTGCAGCTATTCCCCTCCTGTGGCATGCTGTTAAATATCGATCTGTAAGTATTCAGAATCATTGGTTTCAGAGTTGTCAGGGGCTCAGAAATGGATAATGCCACATTTGACAGTCCCACGGTGCTCTCACTCTATCGATCCTTCTGAAATAGGTTTATAACTATTGATTTAACACTCCAATCAGATGAATCTTGCCATCGTGCTTCAGTAGGACCAATGAGGTCAATTTATGCTCATAACTGACTAATTCCAATTCCTCTTGTTTAATTACCCAGGCTGCCAGCATTAGTGTATAAAGGCAATTAAGAATTTTGTCTCTTTGTGTCTCTTGGTGCCTTGATTAATTTTGTTCTCAGCAACTTGATTTTTTGCTAAATGAGTGCTTGTTCATTACCCATTTCCTTTGCCTCCCTTTTAAGCTCATTTAGCACCATTTTCCCTACCCTACCCTAGCCAGCCTATCCTATAAAAGACTTGATCCCCTTCTAGTCAGCTAGATATCATCCCACCTATATAGCTCCTATGTCCAGTGTTTTACAAAACCAAACCCATGCATCTCGACAGGGCTCCAACCAGAGCCAGTGTTCCTCCTCCACGTGACAGGAGGGATCTTGGAGAAGTTCAGCTGGATGTTGCCGTCTTCTCTCTTCTTTCGACCTTCTCTGGACTATCCTTGGACCACTAAAGCTATGGTTTTGGCATCACAATCAGTATTCAGAAGCCTATTTAATCTTGCAGTTGCACCTTAAGTATTATCATCTGCTGTCCTCTTGTCTCTTGCAAAACATTAATATCACTCTTCGTCGAAAACCATCCCCAGCAAAGACCATCTTCCTTCTTCAGTGGTCACAGATCTCTTCTGGTGCGCAATTCCCAATCTTGTGGGTTGTGCTGAGCATTCAGTCCTGGATATTATCCCTTTACCTGCTCCCTCAGTCCACCAGCAAAGTCTTCCGCACATCCCAGAGTACGAGCATGGTAACCACACGCTCTTTCTTGTTGTGTGAAATCCCCCCATCCTCTACTCGCTGGTGGTATCAGGCTGTGATCCATCTGTGTGTCTGCCCCTACCAGTGAAGAAAGGCTGCCCGCTGCTTTTATGTGTGGTAGTTAAAAATAGTTTTAGTGCTACACATTGGCTGGCATAGCTGCAAAAGGACAAGTAGCTAAACTTTCCTGTTTGGAGTTCCAGGTCAGGCAGGGGTGGGTGGTAGATTGCAGTGTTCAGATTCACATGGGTCCAACCCTGTGCCATAGATGTGTGTTTCAGCAGAGCTGTCAGCATCTTCCGTATAGAGAATCTCTTCAATCAGTGTAGCATGACATCTAAGCTAATTATTAATATTTTGACTTGCCTACCCAAAGGAACGGGGTGAGGAGAAGAAGAGTTTGAGTAAAATTCAAGATAATTTTTCTAAGGAGTGAAACCTCCTTACCAAAGTTTGTATAGGGGTAATCAAAAAATTTAATGCAAATGAAACAGATGATTATTTACACTGATGTAGTTTTTCCTTAGAAATTGCCCTTTTTTTAGGGGAAAATGCTATTTCAGAATGAAAAGGCAGAAATTTCACTTTGAACAACATGAAAATTCATCATTCAGTATTTCCAAAATAAAATACTTTTAAAATGTCAAAACGTTGATATGACATTTTTACAGATAACATTACTTTAAACCAAAACTATTTATTGCGCGTGACCAAATTTCTCAAATAATTTTGGTTCTATTTTTCAGCAAACATTCATTCTATTCATTAACAAATAAGAATCCTATTCTATTCAATAACAAATAATGACCACCCCTGCAAACTATTATTGATGTTCCTTCATTGGACTGTCACAGAACTCAGCCTTGGGCACTGCCTGGAGCAAATGCTTTCTACAGCCACTTGTGCAAATTCCCATTTTATTTTTCCGTTTGCTTTTTCAAGAACCTTTTTGGCAGATAATAATAAGCCTGACTGCTTATCTTTTAAGAAGGTATTAACCGTTTTGAACACCAGGGTTTATTCCATCACTCTTAGTCTCAGAGAGAGACCCGAGTTTGGGGCATAAACATTGCAGATAGCAAACACATCTTACCAGGCACCTCTACCCTGAAGCGTAGGACTTATGTCCTCCCTAAGCTCCTGTTTGGCAAAGGTGGTGTGAGTAGAAGATGGGATGTTCCACATGTGGGAGTTATGCTGAGCTTCTGTGTCTCGCAGTTGATGCATATTTTTTCCTTTATTTTTTCCAGCTTCTGATCTTTCTCTGCAACTGTTGACAGCAGCTTCTAGATCATATCGAGTGACAGGGCTGAGCTCCAAAGAGAAATATTTGTTTTCTATAAGGCCAGTCTTTGGAGAGACTGAGGGACCAGAGACAACACTCATTGGACATACAGGTATGACACATGGGTGCTTGTGTTGCAGTTTCTCCTAGGTAACTGCTATTGAGACTTATTTCTTGGCATCTCTACCCTTCTGATGCTTTGCAAGGTAGTGGCATCCTAACTAAAAGGGGTTTCGCAAACACTTTTTTGGTTTGTCTCTTTACAGTGGGACCTCACAGAGATTCATCTGTGTCTCCTGTTACTTCTGCAAAATTGACTGCTATAAGATCCCCCTCCACAGCTTTTAGCAGTGCAAGGACCACTTTTATGCCACTGGGCACCAACACAACAGTAGAACCAACCTCAGAAACCCTACTATTGACCACCATAGCGCCTGCACCACTGACTACTCTCCCTGGGCCAAGTGAGTGTGTATCTATGTGTGATTCAAGGATGATGATCAAAACCACCAGGTCCCTGGACACCATGGCCTCCTCAGATCTCAGGAGCCAGAACTAGTCTTCGTTGGCTGAGTACTGAGTAACTTTAGCTTGCTCAGCCAAGTGAAGGTTGCAAGACAGAGGACCTGAATACCATCTAGAAGTACATTTGGTGGGCTAACCTCAGGACAGGAGAAGTGTCTATGCTGCAGGCTAGCCCTCAGCAAGGGAGGTGTCTATAATGATGTTTAAGCTAGAAGTTAAAAGGTTGCTAATGACAGTCTTTTTAAGTGAGCTTCTGCAACAGCCTTCCTGTGGGAATGTGGGGAATGAAAAGACCTATGTTCTTTCAAGACGGAATTTGATCCACTTGTGTGAAGAGTTATTTGTGGCATGGTATTATGGGGGGGGGGATTAAATCCAGGGTGCAGGGACCTTCCAGACCAATGTTCCTCTGGTTGCCAGACCTCCCCTCAAGACTAAGTAGTAGCTGGATGTGGTGCTGGTGAGGCAGGAGATGGTACTTTCCTCTCAGTAATGGCAGCCCTAAAAGCCAGGAAGGAATTGTTTAGGTGTGTTATTGTCCTAGAAACTGCCCATTCACTGATCCTCTTACTTCGATGTTCCCCATGAGGATGAGCAGTGTTGGTGAAGGGGAAGACACAAAACCCATATAGCACTGCCCCATAGGCAGAAGGTGCTGCCTGCTCACTCACTGACACTTGGCATCACAAGACATATTTGTGCTGGGGTTTATTTCGTTGTTATGAACACAATGAAATGCGCTTCTGCTTTAAGACTGCATGACTTATGGAGATCCTCTCTTCCCGTTACAGTCTGTGGCAAGTTCAAAGCAGATATTGCATTCCTGGTGGACGAGTCCTCAAGTATTGGCCAGAGCAATTTCAATAAAGTGAAAGACTTCCTCTTCTGGATCGTATCCTATTTTCCTAAGATTGGGCCTGAAGGAACACAGGCAAGAATTCATTATTCTATTTCCTGAAAGTATTTCTTTCCAGTTGTTCACCTTTTCCTCACTCTTGCAGTAACAAAGTTTACTAGCTCAGGTTTTGTGTTTCATAGAGGTGACTTACTTTGCCTAAAGCCACGTCAGACTCACGTGGTCTATCAAAGACTAGAACAAGAGTCTTCCAAGTTCCAGCCTGGATCCCTACTCATTCGGGTCTATTTCCATTTCTTGGTTATTTTTCCAAAACCAGGTCATCAGGAATAAAGCAAATCCTGGACCTATTAAAATGCAGTGTTTTAGCCTGTCTAGATTATGAAGCCCAGGTATATGTCAGCATCTCCTGTTTCTGACTCCATTCCGGGCATGGCCCTGGATACCCTGCTGCGGGGCCAAGGATCTCCCTTCAGGGACCCATTTCTGCCCACATCCAGACTATTAATGGGAGGAGACCCGGGTGGGTGCCCAGATGGAGATGCAGCACATGCCAGCAGCTGCCATCTCTGGCCAAGCAGAAGATCAGGTCCCCAGGCAGTGCTGTGAAACACTTCAAGGGTAGCTGCACCTTGCAGTATTAACTGACAACCCAGCAAAGCCAATGGGAAGACTCAGTAGATAATTTAGTACAGATCATTTCTGTTTAATAATCCATTAGCCCAGCTGATATCTCAGACAGAGTTCCTTGTACTCTTTATTTGCAGGAAATCTGCAGGGTTTAGGCAGGTGGTGATGTTACCCTAGATTAATAGATTATTCTGGTGAGATGAAGATACCTCAGTTTAGGTGGCTATAGTATGAACTTCATATTTTTTTAGCCTGGCCTTTTCTTTGGCAGATTGCTGTAGCACAGTACAGCGAGGAGCCCAGGGCAGTGTTTCACTTCCACCAGCACAAGGACCGCAACAGCGTTCTGAAAGCCATCAAGGGGCTGCACTATGCTGGAGGCAACACAAAAACTGGTGTGTATGTGTGAGCCCACACATGTGCTGTAGACCTTCTGGCTCAGCAATGAGGCTGGAGTCCAGGGAATGCATTTATCTGATCATTTTGAACCCATTTGCCTGTACCTGCTGCGGGTAGAAAGTTACAGCCCAAAGTTCTTTAAAACTTGAGAACAGAGGATTGAATTTAGTTTTATTTCCAGGCATGGCCTATCCAACTAGCCTGGTTCCTTTATCTGTGTCCTACTTTTGCTGCTGGGTTTCTCTTCATTATTTTATACCCTTGCCTGCACTTGAGGGATGTTTTTACTTGTAGCCTGGAGATCAAGCCCATAAACATTTGATAAGGATAGTTGATGCTCAAGCATCCTTATTACCCACTCTATGCACATTTTAATCAGCAAATTGCAATGGTTATTGCCTTGTTACCCTAACAACAAAACAGCATGCCCTGTTCTATTTTTGTGGTATGTCAGCACGTAGAAGTCCTTTGTTTACCTCTATTCAAATAACACAGCTCTTCATTAGCTCGGCATCTCAGAAGTTCAGCTGCTTTTGACTTACATAACTAACACGTTCAAATGTAGGCAGCGCTTTCTACCTTCTCCTTCCTGCCAGGACAGCACAGTATACTTGGTTCCCTGAAGATACATAAGCAGCAATATTAAAAGAGGATAGTTAGTTTTAACTTTAACCTTTTTAAATGGCCCACCTAACTGTCTTCCAGACAGTACAAATCAAAGCCTCAAGACCAACGGCACCCATATATATATTAACTGAGGGCTTATATACCTCAGCCTGATGATGTAGCATTGATCAGGAACACAGAAAAGTGGGACTATTAAGAATATTAGAATTTGGACAGGACTGGTCAGGAAGAGAAGCAGGATGAAACCAGTCAGATTGCAAATTCTTGGGTAACCTTGCCTCTCAGACTTCTTTTTTATGGATATTGTGTCAATGGATACATGTCCCCCCTCACAGGATTCTTTCCGCCTTGTTTTGGGGCTTCTTAACCCTTTCAGTTTGAGGAGTTTTTTCTGAAACTTTCATGATCTTTCTAAAGATATTTCAAAATGGGAATTCACTATTTTTTTTCCTAAAATGCTGGGGAAATGCTTCAAATCCCTTGAACACATTTCCTTTTTTCCCCTCCTTTCCAAAACTATCTGCTGAATTCAGCCTGAACCATTTCAATCAATCTGATTCATTGCTGTCTCCCCTCAAAAGGTATTGCCCTGCTGTAGGAGCTACTATCCCCTTATGGGGTGACACTGAATGTCCTATTTTGTCCAGCTGTGGAGTGGGACCTACAGCCCCTCACCTGCAGACCTAATATGTAGGCAGATTTACACTGTGTCTCTCTCCATTTGCCCAGGTCGTGGTATAGCCTACATGCTAAAGGAGTTATTTCAGCCCTCCAGAGGGATGAGACCAGCTTTCCCTCATACGCTGGTACTTGTGACTGATGGGCGATCACAAGATGATGTGTTACTGCCAGCCAGAACAGCCCATGCTTTAGGTAAGAATTGTCGTATTGTATTTCCCTAAGGCCTTGGTTGTCCTTCAAATACAACCAGGAGATGAATTTCCGGGGTATTTTGGGTGGTATGTTGAATAATTTGTGCGCTTCAAATGTATTGTTGACTTTTTCCCTCCTTCATCTTTTCTTCTTTTCATTCCAAGCTAGAGTGTCTTGGTTTTGCTAGAACTCACACATTCTGGTTTAGGGGAGTTTTCTCTTGGCTGCTGGAGTATATATTCCCATCAAAAGATATCAACAGAAAGAATATGATGAAGGATTTGGAAACTCTGATCCTGAACATTTTTCCATTAAGCAAACGATGTGTTTCAGGGATCCGCATTGTTGCTGTGGGTGTCTCCGGAGCTGACCCCGCTGAGCTGAACAGCATCTTGCTGCAGCAGAACCTCCAGAATGTTTTCTACGTCAGCACATTTGATGACTTTCCCCATATCGTCCAAGAGCTGATAGAAATCATTTGTTCTGACCCGCAGCCTTCAGGGGCCCAGCCACTGCCTGGAGAGGTGAGCTGCTTCACAGAGCTTTGAATAAAAGCCGTCTCGCTTGGCACAGGTCGTGCACAAGGGTAGTCGCCTACCCTGAGCCATATTTCGAAGCAAGAAGGGCAAAAGAGATTCAGGACATTGGGTCCAACCCTAACCTCGCTTACTTCCCAAACCCAGAGATGAAGAACAAAACCTTTGAAATCAAAGGAGTAAAACAGGGGAAGCCAGAATACAGCTTTGAAGGTGGTGTTATGCAAGGCCGCTGCAGGGTAAAGCAGTTGAACATATTGTAATTTCAATGCCTTCTTCCAACTATGGTGCATGGATCATTGGTAAAGATATGAGCTTGTTTTCAGAGTATCTCAAACAGTAGTATTTTATAGCTGTTTCAATTGAAAGGTTGGTGATATAGATGTACAGCTATGAAATACTACCTCTTGAGACCTACTGAGGGCTGACGGTGGGGTCCGGCCGCAGAATGTGGAGGATCGCTAATCTAACCCAAATTCCCTGCTGTAGGTTGCTGGACACGAACCAGACAAGCAATTGTCATTTGGTAACACAGAGAGCAAGATGCTGGTCCCTGATCCATCTTCAGCTGAACCATACATCCGAAGAGGAGAGGAGGCTTGTGGTCCCTGGTGTTTAAAGGTGGGAATTAGTTCACTGACATCTGTATAGCGGATTATATCTCAGAGCAGTGTCTTGATCATCTCCCACACTGCTCTGGCCGGGTCAGTTCTTGCACTACACTGCATTCAGTGTAGTCGTATCACCTTCAAGGCCTTTGACTTTGGAGGCTGTGTTCATATTTGGGGAGATCATCCTAGGACCTGCCACTTCTGCGTGGGACATGCAGCAGCCTCCTGTAGTCCTGCCTAGTGAGCCAAGAGAGCACAGTTATTCCATGGATCCTGCATCACATCTGCTAGCCTCGCGCAGATGTCCTACAGCATTTCAGATAGCTCTAAATTCCAACATGTGAGCCACGGAGCAGAGCCCTGAGCTTCCTTACTGTAGAAATAAAACCTTGGGAGACAGTTCTACCCACCTACGAAGCGGAAAGCCAGAGGAAATGAAGAACAGTGGTGGCCACATACCCTTAACTCACCAGAGGGGGTGGAGATCCATTTTTGCCAATTCTAAGGGAAGGTCAGTCTTTTCAAGTAGTTTCCTGGAGTTGTCACAGAAAAGATACCCTGGTGATTAGAGTCACCTTTGGGAGGTTATGTGCATAGCCATAATTCCTTGTTCTGTCAGCAACTTCCTGAGTGGCCCTGGATAAATCGCTCAGGTGTGCTAGCTTCATCTGAGGAAATGAGTGTCTCCACATTAGTCAGCCACAGTAGTGGGCAGTTAGTCGGTGTGGTCAACAAAGTGTAGGTCGTGATTCCGTGCATAAGTAGGTGCCCACACTAGCAGATGATTAGTCAGATGGGGATGTTTATGCTGGTGGCCATCTAAAATGAGGTGAGATTAACGTTATCCCATTGTCCATGGATGGTTGAATTAGGGTCTTTATTTCACCTCTGCCAAACTCCTTTCCACAGTTTCTCCCATGGGAGAGAAAAATTACACTGAAATTACCTTTGAGCCTTGGCAAACATATAATCAAGAGTGTTTACAGCATCTCTGAGCCAAAAAGGAGATCCTGAACTGTAGGTGTAACCTGGGCCAAGATTTCACAGCACTTCAGTACGTCCCCTGACTGCATTTCCTCCTCACGCTGCTCTGTGTTCTCTAGCCTGTTCTCCCAATTTCAGTGCAAGCTGGAGACATGTAAGTAATGCATAACCTCAGAAGGATGTTAAAGGGTCTGAGGATATGGGCAGGTCTCCTGCAGGGTCAGCCTTATCCCTTGCTTCTCTAACGTGGGCCAAGGAGTGTGCTAGTATTTGTTTTACAGTCACTCTAGGTTGGGTTTATTTGCCATCCTATGGTGGGTAATAATTCCCTGAGCATTTGTTCCATTTTCTTTTTCCTTTCAAGAGCTTAAGGGGCTCACCGGCTCGTGGAGGTTATGACCCATACAGCTTTACTACAAAGGGAGAGAAAGGAGAAAGGGTGAGTCCGTTCCCCTCAGCCATCCACCTGGTTGATTAATGTACAACTAAATAATTAGTAGCAAGACAGAGATCTATCCAAGAATCTCAGAGTTTACAAAACTTGTCTGAGTTTGAAAATTTGATACTTCTATTTTTCCTCCAGAGATGACTCAGCCTAAAACAAAATGAAACAGGTTTTATCTTTCACATGAGAGGGAAACTTGCTCTGTATACTAGTAATTAAGGATTCCCTGTAGCAACGCACAAAGCTAATGTTGCCTGAAGCTGTTTGGGTTTGCAGATCTGGAGCCGTAACGCACGTACTCTTGCTTTCCATATGCTTAGGGCCTACCTGGGAAGGACGGTATTCCTGGGCTGCCAGGCAGACCGGGGCGGACAGGTCCTCCTGGTCCCCCGGGGTTCAGGGTACGTATTTGCTTTAACAAACACTGTAAAAGTGCCACTCAACAGAGGAGTGAACATAACTCTGAAATATCTCTCTCTCGCTCCTGGTTTGTAGGGTCTCCCTGGTGTCCAAGGTGATATTGTAAGTATTTTGAATGCAGCAAAGATCGCCCACGCAGTGGGTCCCAAAATCTTTGCTTTTCAAGCCTTTGAAAGGCCAGTTAGGCTGAGGAGGACAGGTGCCCCGGGTGACCCGTGCTGCCTTTCTGAAGTGCTGTTGCCATCACTGAATAACTCCCAGCTAAGATGAGGAAGAGTCTGTTGGCTCTTTTTCCAAGATCTGCCTCTCCTGCCAGCCAGGACTCTCACTACTAGCTGTGAACTTCACTCAGTACCAGAAGTGTCACTCGGGTTTCCTTCTGTTCAGAAACCTGGTGCATAATGCAGCACAACAGTGGCATATTTCTAGCCAAGTAACAATCCCTAAACTAGAGCGGCCCAGAAAAAAACAAGAACTACAAACTGCCTGCATTTATATGTCAGTCTTACTACACTCTGTTATACATTTAATCACCAGTAGCATCATCTGCTCACAGACATGCCATACACTAATTATGCTTCTGACATGTTCACACAACTATTCATACCGTTGCTTGGAAAACACTCATCTAGCTAGACCAGCCAAACCTGATGTGCCCTTGTTTTCACTAGAAGTACTGCCATTTGCTCCATACTGTCGATTTTACTGGAGATAGCACAGCTTTACGCACTAGATCAGCAGTCAGCTACACAAATGTCCCTCCCCTGCTTTCACCAGCACTCTGTTAACAGACCTCTGTGTTTGATGAGGTAAATCACCCTCCTGGCTCTGAGGACTCTGTTGAGAAGGGGCTGGTACCGAGGTGTCCCAGATGATTTGAGGTCCCCTAGGATTTCCAATACAACCATTTACAGCTGATAAAGTATGGGACTTACAGGATGCCCCTGAAGTGAGACCTGGAGGCCAGGCAGGTATCACAGAGCATCACAAATGGCACAAGCCACCTGTGCATGTATAAATGAAGTGAGCCCAAAATCTCCATCACCTATAATGGGGTGTATACTCAGGGCTCATGTGGAGACACAACATTTGAGCGTCATAATCTTCAAATGAACCACATCCTTTTGGCTCAATTTGTTTGCTTAAAAAGAGTCCTGACATGTTGTCTGAGATGCCCAGCTATCCTGCTGGTTATAGATCTCGTGTAAATCCTGTGTCGTATCTAACAGCCCTGTGCCTTGGGTACCTGAGGATATATTAGGCATCCCTAGACATCTCTTGCCTGCACCCTAGGCATCACTAGAGAGGGACATATAACACACTGGCCCCAAGGGTGACGCAGGCGTGATTCACACCAATGGTGGGACCAAAACCTGTTGCTCTCTTCTAGAAACCTATTTTCATGATTGCTTAATGGCAAATGAATTTTCTTTCAGAGGTAGGTCTGTAATTTGAACATCCCACAAGGATGGTCTTGCAGATGCTTTGTTGTTTAATGCCGTATGATTTATTTTTAATTTCAGGGATCTCCTGGCTATCCAGGACCAGTGGGGCCAAAAGGAGACAGAGTGAGTTTCCTTTCTGGGTTTTACTGGGAAAAAGCCATTGTAGTGCTCTCGCCTCTTGTTTTCAAGCGTTTGCACAGTAACTACTTCTGAACATGAACTTCTGAGCTACATGTTACTAGCTCTGTACTGCCAGCAGCCCTAGAGAAGTCTTCCTTCAGTTTTACTATGAGGCATCTAAAGTCTTCATGGAGAAAACTGGCCAATACTTACCACAGGCCCCTGGCACAATTCAGTTGATTATTTGCACAAGGAGGTAGCACTCTGTTGGGTCATTCTGCATTTTAAGAGCCGCTGCTATGAACAAGCCTGTTTGCACGCATTTAGGACAGAGAAAGGTAAGGCTTTGTAATCTGTTGTGGGTTCTTCCCAGGAGCAGTTGTCCTGTCCTTCCCCCATGCCCCCGTTGTATATGGCCATGAGGTTTCTGGTACCTCTACAACAGACACGCAACAAGCAGGTGGTTTGGTTTTGCGGCACAGGGAGGCTCTTACAGGCTGTTTGCTCTTAACGTGCTCTGATCTTGCAGCTGCGCCCAAGACATGAAACTGCCTGTTAGTGCCTGGACCTCCCAACACAGCTGAGCATGTGTTCTCCTGCCTTCTCATGCAGGGCGAACCAGGCTATGTCCTGGGAGGAGTGGAGGTGATTCCCAGGCGGAACGGGCAACCTGGCCCTCCTGTGAGTATTGTACCGCAGGTGCTTCGGCCCCTTGGCCTGCTCCGCTTCTGCAGGGCTGGCAGAGCAGCGAAGGGACTGGGAGAGAGCATGACCCCCTCTCTTCTGTTTTTTGTTGTTACAGGGACAGAAAGGGCAGCCAGGGGTTCCTGGCGTAACAGGACCACCAGGTTTACCAGGGCCACAGGGGCCACCGGGGATGTCCATCAAGGTGAGTGAGGTTATTTGCAGCATGGTTTTCCACTGTTAAGCCACCTAGAATGGGGCGTCTCACACGGCCCACAGTCCCTGGACGCTCTAGTCATTTGAGGGCCCTGGAAATATATGTTTCTTCCCTCTGTTATGCAATAAATTTCCAGGCCTTCAGGATCTCTGGCAATTGATCCTGCAGTGCTGAAGCCCATAGGATTCTCCCATTGAATCACGCAGGCACAAAAGGAGGCACCCTGCAAATGGCTTTTCCTATTGTGAGGGCGCCACTGTTCAACCACAACTCAAAATGACAGCCTGAAAACAGCAGAAATTGATGATGGAGCTTGAAAAGGTTACGGTGAGGCTTGTCTGATGTAGGGCCAGATTGTAGTGGTTACTAAAACTTTTCCAGCTCCAGGTCCCTACAGAGATTGTTCAGCACCTAGAGTGAAACATCCAGGACCGCATGCGCTGTGCACAGCAAAACCTGCATTTGAAATTTTCACCAAGCGTCTCCCTCCCCTGGCAGGGAGAGATCATCTCAGCAGAGATCAAGGGTCCTGAACTCCCCTCATCTGCCCTAAGTTTGGATATCAGATTTCATGGGCTGAGGTGTCTGGAGCACAAGAGAGAGCAGACACCTCTTCCAAAGCTCTGCTTACCCTAGGGCGTAGGGGATTTTGGTCTCTGGGCTTAGTCAGCCTGCAGGAGCTTTTGCTGGAACTACATTTAGAGAGAAACCCCCTCCCTGCCACTGTCGTTTGGTTGGAAGTGACAAAGAGGGAAAAGCCCAAAGACTGCAGCATCGTGCTTGGGTGCAGGAATCCTTGGCAGCTTCTCTAATGAAAGGGGCATGCTGCCGCTGTGTATCTTCAAGGGGGAAAGCGGGGAAAGGCTTTATGAAGGATCTGCTTGTCCCTGCTCCTGGGTTCTGTGGTAATGCTTCATGTCCTTTGCGTTTCAGGGCGAACCAGGGGATTCAGGTATCAGGGTAAGTACCTGAGGCTGGCTTTCACTTTCCAATGTGGTGACAAGCTTTGTTTTTTATTCCTAAGCTGCCCAACAGACTCTGGTTTCAATGCTTGCCAGGGCCCCATCAAGACCATTCTGCTGGGACACACGGTAAGACTGTCCTTTGCTTCATGCAGGGTCCTCGCGGGAGGAATGGCCTCAAGGGTGACAAAGGAGGCGTGGGAGAGCCGGTGAGTTATCTGCTGATGGCCAGTCACTAAGGGAGAGCCACAGGCCGCTGCCAGGGATGGGAAAGTGCCGTTGACCTTGGCACGCCAGCTTCCGAGCTGTCTATTGACAGCTTTCATCAGCCGCCTCTTTGGGATGCTTCACTCTGCTGACAATCCCTTCCTGCTAGGGCTGGCAGATTAAGCAGAGACAATTAAGCATTTCTCGCTTTATCAGCTTCATCCTACTGACCTGTCATTCAGGAGTTATCAAAGGGAAATGTTAGAAACCCAAGAAAGATGCACATTAACAGTCATTTGTTCTGCAAAGAACAAGCACATGCTCTTTCTAAGAGCACAGAGTAAAACTGTGAGAAGTGCATCCATCGCCACACTCACAACTACAATAAACCCTCTGGTGTAGTCAGTTGTGTTGGTAGATGATAGCAAGTGTTGCCTGAGGAAGGCTGCCCCAGAGAGCCATGCCTTAGCCTGGCCTTTTTATAAAATATGTCTTCCTAACATGCTCATTTTCCTTGAGCTCAGTTAGATGACTTCCCCTCAAGCCCCCATTGCCCCCATCACCTGTGAGGCAGCTGAGTACAGCCCTGCTCCTTCCCACAGCCCTTGCCCTCATCTCAGGAGGGGCAAGGAAGAACTGGGACAGGTCCAGAGGAGGGCAAGAAGGTGGATTGAAAGCATGAGACATCAAAAGGACCAAGCTGGTGGCCAAGACAAACAAAAGGAGGTGGTTCTCTGCAGAAGAAGTTCCACAAGGATACTTTAAGAAGTTTGAGTTCAAGGGGAGATGAGCGAAGAAAAGAAATCCATTGATGGCTGCTAAGGATAAAGAAACTGCATCGGGTTCAGGAAGTCCCTGAATTACAAATAGTTCAAGTCTGCCAGGTTGCTCAGGGATTATATGCATATCCTGTTCTCGCATCTTTCCCAAGGTGCCTGTTATGGTCCACCATCAGAGATGGGTGCTTTTTTGTTTGCCATACAGCAGAGCTATATGCGATAGACCAGCCATTTCCTTATTTCAGATTTCAGTTTCAAAATCAGCAGCCTACCCTATTAGAGCAACATAGCCTTGAAGAGTCACTGGAGAAGGCATCCACTGCCAAACCAACGTGGGTACCCAGCCCCTATGCTTCCGTCTAACAAGCAAACACATCTTTATTTTCCCTTCCCAAATAAAGCCAGTGATCCATAGTCTCTCTGTGGGGGAAAAGACAACTTGGGTATACATGATGATCTCTGTAAATCCTCATTTGCAAAGGAACGGATAAGATGGGCCCATCAGGGTATGCAATTCTCTGCTTGTGTTTCTGAACACTTAAAAATAAGCCGTCTTGATCATTAACAAACAGTTTGGAAGGAAAACATGTCAGGATGTCTCTTCCTTTGCAGGGGAAACCCGGCTTGCCAGGCCCGGTAGGGCTAGATGGTGGTCCTGGACTGCCTGGACCAAGGGGACAAAAGGTCATTCTGCATAGCAGATGCTTGCAGGATCCATCAGCCCAAGGGGGAATCTGAAAATAGCTGAGATGAAGTATCAGCAGGATAGTTTGAGTGCAGATAAAATGGAGACATGTAGGGATTTCCCCCACTCCTCTATGCTCCCTGCTCATGCAGATGTTTTCTCCCAAACACAGCTAAAGCCCTGCATGTTGCCTGTCCTCTGGATGGAGGTGCTTTGCTGATTCCCCCACCCTGCTTCAAATGGTGGCTGAAAACACGCACAACCCCTTTTTCTACTGCTCTCTCTTCCAAGTTGTTATTTACACCTTGCCTGAAGGTTACTGGCTAAGCATATGTCTTAGCGAAATGGCCACAGAGCAGATTTCTCCCTTGCAGCTTTGCAGGATGGTTAAGAGCAGAGCTGTAGCACAGGTTGTAGGGTAGGACGTTCCCTGCTCTACAATTTTTGTGCCTTCCTCCCGGCATGTCGTCTGCTTTCCTGAGTGCAATGCTTACCTTGCAGGGGTTGCCAGGAGCTGGCATTCCT